GGAGATGCAGCACACTTCACAAGAACTTTTCATTGAATAAAACATGTCTGGCCCTATTTTACTTCAGTTGGGAAATGAAGACTAATAAATTAGACAGCTCCTCCAGGGTACTGCATACTTGCAGATAGAAGCCCTGGGCTTTTCCCCCCGATGTATCTTAAGTGGAATTGCAGTTCCATAGTGGGTTGGTGTCTTTGTAAGTGAATATATCATATTACTGAATAAATGTCCACCGAGAGACGGTTTGTTAAAATAAATAAATTATCAAGCCCTTGACACATGGTAGCACTCACTTGGGGAATCAAAATGCTAAACTGGATGGTCAGTTGCTGTCTGGACAGCCACAGGATTCTCTGTTGCAAAGGTCCTGGAGATGGTGCCTTTGGTTGGAACGGGAGAGCCACCCTGAAGCTTCCAGCATTTCACCTGTTCTGGCATTGCATGGTAAGGTGGAGCGTGAGCCAAGAAGAATCTACTGTTCCTATTAAACCCTTCAGAGTGGGCTATCAGCTATCACAGCTTCACCCCTAGCAGCTTTCCGTCTCTTCCCTCTTCCTTCCCTCACAAAGAAGTTGAACTCCCATTAGGAAGGCAGCCATGGGTAGGTCCTGAAGGGGCTGCATGACACTCCCATTACAGCATACGGGCTTAGACAGGCCCACGCTGAGCTTCTGGGCTGTATGGGAGCTCAGCTGCTGTTTCTTCTGAAAATAGCCTACCAATAAACAGAGGGATTCAGCTCTTTTGACTGATGCCTTTTTCAAGCATTTAATTTGTTTAAGACATTAAAAACAAAACTATGAGAATCTGACAAGTTATTTTAGCATAATTGCCTAAGGTTACTACCATTTTGGCTGAAATGAGGAGTGGTATGATTACGACTGAGGGGAAAAAGCAGCCAAGTTGCAGAAAGCTATGATAGTGAGTTAGTGTATTATAAAGATGTTAAACCGGAATTATTTTCTAATACTCTTTCCTCAATATTCATAATAAATTTCAATGCACAATGTGCCAGTCTCTGTTCACATGTAAATCTGAAGATTGAAAATACATTACAGTAACACAGATGTCACTGGGAAAACTTCAGTGACCTTTAGGTAACAAAAAGCATAGCCTTTTACTTTAATAGACTCTGACATTATTATAATTCTGTCCTGGTTAACCACAAAATGTAAGTTATTACATATTTTAATCAGGTCAACTGGGATAGGAGGAGGATTTTAAAACAAGCAGAAAGAACTTCAATAGATTACATAAATCATGTTCTGAATTTGAAAGGTATGAAACAAAAAAAATTGAGGCCTTTCAAAGAAGGACTCGTGAATGCAAAGCATGATGATTATATTAGTCAAAGAATGGAAAAGATGTGGATTTTATTTTTAGCTCCTCAAAGTAAATTTTCTTTTCACTTTGGGGATGAAATTGCTAGATTAAGACATATCACAGGCAAGGTATTTCGCCAGTCAAGCAGTCTCCAACCAGTCATCCTGGCATAGCATGCACTGTGTTAAGCAGCAGCTGCAAATATACATGCTAGGGGAATCGCAGTCACCATCTTTAGTGTATTAATATGCTTTGCATGCTGTATTAGAAAAACAAAAATTCAATTCTCAGTCAGATCAAACACATTCTTATTTATAGTCCTTGGAGTTACCACTTGCCATGGGAAGCAGACCTTCTGCAAGTATCCTCCTAGTGATTAGAAAACTGAAGTAACTTTTAATCTCAAATCCCACCTCACCATGGCTTGCATTAATGGTTTCCTTAGCTCTGTGCTGCATCACAACCCAGCACAACTGCTCCCTCTGCCAAACTGCTGCAACTGAGTTCTGAGAAACTTGTTAATCAACAGAGGAAGAAAGCAGAGAAAAGAGTCAGTTCTCACAGAGACCAAACCCACATATCTTCTGCTTCTAGAAAGTAAACACCACTGCAATCTCAGGCACAAGAGAATCCTTTTGATGCAAGTTTAACAAAGCTAGGAGGATTTGGCACTTTGCTTTTTCTAAATAATCACAAGTGGTGAATGTAAAAGTTACACAGCCAAATGATTAGGAATAATGAAGTTTGGGCCCATCAAGCTCAGTGCTTTACAATAGTAAAGATCATTCCAATCAGATGATGGGTCATGTTGATGCAAGTGGTAGCTTGCTTAGCTTGGGTACTATTGCAGACGTTGGTTGTGATGTCATCATGACAATCACACAGACAATGAATCCCTCATTTGCAACAACGTTGCCAGATGAGAGATGGTTTGAGTTTTAACTGTTGATCACCCATTTTCTTTAGGAACTGTCCCTTTGGGACAATAGAGTGTCTTGAAGTGGGAGTACCAGAATTATTCCATCACTCCACAAGATATAAAAACTGGTGAAAAATGTTGGTTTTTAAAGTATACGTTAGTTCAACAGTTTCAGAATGGAAACTGTGAGCAGAAGCAGAATTCAGACAAGTTTCATATTGCAGTCGAAAAATCAAGATAGTGCAGTAAAATTAACTTGAAAAAAAGTGTCATAAAATATACATCAAACTATCTGTTTGACAAGAAACAACAATAAGCCATCAGTTATTGTAAGTAATTTCAACTTAAAAGTTATCTATTACCTCTGTAATTTTACAGTGTGAAAATGCTTCTTATCCAACTATGATATTTCAATACAGCTTTCAATATCCTTTGTAAAGTACTAAAAGGGAAACAATGCAGTCACAAACTAAGTGCAGTAAATTAGAATTAATGAGCAGAAGAGTGCAGAAAGTCTTTGCTGCTGCATAATGCTACCCTTTCAGAAGAAACCTATATCATAAGGCATTGCACGTGTACATGGAAATTCATTAATGCTACACCAAGAATAGACCTCCTTGTTGCCTACACAATCTTTTACTCACCATATACATTTTGTCCTTTGAATATGAATTGTAGTGAAATGAGAAAAACCTCTGTAAGGTAGCAAATGAGAAATACTGTGGATATTATCTTACAATGAGTGTTTTGCAGCTATCTGAAAGGCTCATCTTCCTTCTTTCTCTCCACCTTGGCAGGATTTATGCTGATTACTTGTCTTTATCCAAATTAGGTAAAGTCATGCTGTAGATATCGCTCTTATTCTAATTCAATCCCTCACTCTTGAAATATTTGCTCACAATACAATTGCATATTTTATTCTTATAATATTCTTTCTTTTCAGTAGATACAAGTAATATTTCAGCTCCCTTTTAGAGTACATGACAGCAAATTCTAGAGAATTATGCTGCAAAGTGATTGGAACATGGCACTCATTTCTTTGCTTCCCTTCACATCTCCATCTTTGTCTTCAGACTCTCCTGCCATACACATTTTATTTATTAAGATCTGAAAAGTTCAGTTTGGATTCTAGAATTATTTGAAAGCAATATCAACACATATCCTGTATTCTTTTAAGTAATTTCCCACAAAACATATGAAAAGTGGTTTGGAAAATTTTCCTTCACTATGTCATCACTAGAAGCGATCCAAAAAAGAAGTGTAGCTGTAAGGACAATTCTGAAAATACCCTATTTGGAACGCTTATTCTGTCAGCATCCTAATATCCATCTACAGATCCTTAATCTTCCTATCCTGTTGCCTCTCCCCTTTTACAACAAACCCTTAGGGGCAGAAACTCTTCTTTATGCTGTAAAGAACCTAGGAAAAGACTAACTTAACTAATACTGGCACATAAGCAAAATCGTGAGATGCCCAGGGAACAGTCTGCTAACATGAACACACAGAAAGTATGTCCCAGCAATATTTGCTAAGCAAAGTAATAGAAAATGCAAAACAGAAATCTTTCATTTCATACCAGAATTACTGACCCTACAAAGTGGAAAATAAAACCAACAAACAGAATTTGAAACCTGTGCTCTTTATCATCAGGGCATGCTCAGTAGATGGAAAAAAGTATTGCACAGATATTTTAAAATGTATCCTCATCGTGAGACAAAGAATTCTGATCACTGATAAATTTAAATGATTCAAGAGAAAAGTAAAATAAAATAATATGTAATACAAAGTTTAACAGTAAAAACATATTAAGTTTTGTTGTTGCTTTTTTTAACTGGCCTTTATTACTACAGTTGCAAGACTGAATATGAACTACAGTATAATTTCAAACATTTAATGAAGTATCAAGCTTTGATAACTTTGTTCCCAATATATCTATGCCACTGAATCTAGAAGAGAAAATTAATCAGTGTGGTAGCCCCTATTTTACTACAGCTGGTAGGCTGAGAAATCCATCTGCACAGCAAGCCAGCATCACAGAAAATTAATGTGCCATACCTTAAAGTGAGAGACCACAATATGTTTATGTATGGCTGTGTTTCTAGTAAAACCACAAAAAGATCTAGTCGTTATTTTCATATTTTGCAGGCACTGACAGGAAAATAGTCAGACATACATTTGAAATAAGATTATAAAAGAGCAACAAGCAAAATACATTACCTATAAATTAGCTTTTTCTCTTTACAGCACAGAAAGTCCTGGAGCTACATATGAACTCTAATCATTCACAATGTTTTATGGGTTACTACAGGAAGGTCCATACTTCCTTAACCATCTCTTACGTATGACTTCTACAGCATTTGGATTTAGACTGGAGATAGAACTCAAGGCATTGGAGTTTAGGGATTTGCAGTCCCATTCTTTTTGCAACTAATCCCCACATACCTTTAATGTATATAAAGAATTCATTTCCTGAAATCTAGTCTGCAATTCACACACAAAACAATGAACGTAAGATTAGATTTGTGGAACTGAAAATAAATATCACTTTCAAGTAGTAGTGGAAATAACTTTTTCCCTGTTCATTGCAGAGGAATTGGTCTAGATGATCTTCAAGGTCCCTTCTAACTCAAATGATTCCATTATTCTATATTACGCATTTCAAAAATCCAATTTTTTAAAATACATACTGCATGTCCTTATCATAGATAAATATTATAAAGTAAAATCAAACAAAAAACTTGAATAAATTTCTACTCACATTTTGTTACTGGTCTCCTTCCAGTCTGGCTTGCCATATACATCCCATCTCTTTCTCTTCTGTTCCTAAATAGAATATAGGGGGGAAAAAAAAAAAAAAAAAAAAAAACAAAAAAAAAAAAACAGTTAATCACTAAGTGCCAAGCAGCAGAAATTACACAACATTAAGCTGCTATAAACCAAGTTATCAACTATGGGCATTTCTGCAACACTGAAGCCATAAGAAATTCCATGTTTGAACAAATCATTATAGCTATAATTAGTTATACCTGTTCTTAAATTTTCCAAAATTTTCAGATTGGAAAAAAAGGACATTTTTCATTATATTCTTTTCTGTCACAGGAAGAAGTTTCACACACATTAGAAAATCTTTGGATGCCAATAAATCAACAATTATAACTCAGACTATCACTGAATGTAATAGCCAAAAACTACAGCAATAAAATTAAACAAGAAAAAAAACGAAAAAGTAACACTGACAGGAAAATAAAAGAGAGAGAGAGAAAGAGAGAAAGAATGAGAGAAAGAAAGAGAGAGAGAGAAAGAAAAAGAAAATCGCTTATTCAAGAGACTGAAAATCCATTTTCAAGGAACACACCTTGAAACTTTGAATTCTACAAAACACAAGGAATTATTTCAATATCAAATTCTTGTAGCATTATCTACACAACTACATATAAGTCATATTTTCAAAGACTGTACAGTACAAAGAAGTTCAAAGTTGTCCAATCGCACATGCATTGCACATGTTGGAAATGTCTCAGCACTGACTCCCACAGAGGTTTTTTTCGTTTTTGCTTCCTCTCAGCCACTTTAAAGGGAAAATATTATCTGTTTAAACATCAGGTAATCACACAACTATATGATACTTAATAACAGCTTCCCTAATGTTTAGTTACTTACTGAAGATAACTAATGATAATACCACTTATATCCTAATGGCATAAAGATAGCACAAACATGAAAAAATCTTTCTATACATGAAAGCCAATATTTAGAACCAGAAAGAAAACATCATACAGAAAATTGTTTTCTTCTGCACGAGATAATCACTTCTAGATGCTGATGAAAGCTCCTTATGATTTAGAAATTATTTTTGTTATTTTAAGTACTAATCACAGAATTAGTTAAATTGCCAATACACATTACTTTCTGAAGTCACCAGCATAGGATTTAGCCCAAAAATTCTCCTTAACATGAGCTGTAAGAGTTTTCTACTCCTTGTACTAACATACACCTGTTACCCATTCACTAGCTCCATACTACATTACTTGTTTAGTTTTGTTATCATTTAACATCAAAATATGAAACATCCTTAATATCTATTCAGCACTTTTCCAAATTCTTCTATCAACCTCTTTTTTTTTTCTCGAAAAAATAGCCTCTATTTAACCTTTTATTTCACCACAAGAATTCTTTAGACTTTTTGTGGGAGATAAGAGCTCTACATCTCCTTTGCATTAATCAAAACACAGTTTTAGGATCTGTGTTGACATCTAAAAAAACAGCCTGAAATTAAAGAATAGGAGCTTCTAGGATCTGACTATTGTGCTGTGATGTTCCACATGTTTTATAAGTTGATCACTCAATCACCACATCTGGAGAGAATAATACAGAACACAAAGTTCAATTTAAAGTTCTACCTTTTTTTTCCTCATGCTAAGTAGGATACAAATACAAAGAAAAGCTACAAATAACTCTTTTCTCTTTAATTAGTTATAAAAATGAGCTGCCTTACTGCCACAGTGCATCAGTAATGAACTTTCTTAAAGTGGTGTTCCATGCAAACAGAAGTTTATATAGTAAAAGCAATAGTATCCAGTTCTGTTTCAGAACTCCTTGTTTGTATGTTGTTCTCCTTTTTTTTTTTTTTTTTTTTTTTTTTTTTTTTAAAGTAGAAATGGCAGGGGTAAAAAGGTATAAAATAGCATAGTCAGGAAGCACAGTATGTAACTACACTTAGAATTGCTGTTTTCACTGGAGTGCCTTCATTACAGTCTGCCATAGATATTCATAGCTGCTCATATTGCAGATGGTATCCTGGGATAATATTAGTGAATTTTTTATATGAATTGGTTTTAGGCTGAACGTTACTTGAACCTAATCTTCTATCACTAAGTGTCAAACACTGGACAATGTCATTAGTGCAATTAATTAAGCAGCTAATGGATTGTGCAGAGGATATTGAATTATGACGCTTTGGAACTGCACAGTATTAAATGTCATAACCAGGTCAGTACGAAATACTTGTATCCATCATTAAAAAACTATTCAGTACAACAGAGAGAGGACTGACTAAATCATCCAGTGGAGATCCAGCTATTAGTTTTCTATTTCTGCCTGGTGTTGAACTATAAACAAACTTTACTTCTTGATTTCCTCTCTGAATATGAATTCTACGTGAGCACTTAAAAGCAGATGTGGTACAACGGTCCTGCTGAACAACTGGCTGCACTTTAACACTTCTTTTTTTTTTTTTTTTTTTTTTTTTTTTTTTTTTATAAACCAAGAAAGCGCTGCTATACAGGACTGGGAAATACGATGTTACAGGTTAGACATGTGTGTATCAAAATTACTTGAGGACAGGAAACTATTGCTGAACTACATGAAAAAAAAATGTGATCCTTGAAATGTTTATGCAATGCCGTATCCAGAAATCATCACAAACAATAATTCAGAAACCCCTGAACTGTTAAACATCTTGATAAAAGAGGATAAATAGAGGTTATAGAGCAGAAATGTTGGTTGCAATCAGCAAGGTAGAAGTTTCTGAATAGAAATGTTTCTACATAGCAAATTAACAATGACATTTTAACTTTTTGCAGTTCGTGCTGCGGTGGGAAATTGAATTCTGCCATGTCTGTTCCATTCTGAGACTGCAGTGGATCAAGCCCTCCAGTATAAGCTTCTTCCTCCCCAAAATATTTCTTTCAAGTGTATGTTCAAGTACGCACACTGGAAAGTTATCTCAACATTTGATATCTAGATCTCCATTCTTCACCATAAACATTCATGTTGAAGTGATTTAAGGTATATTTTGAGATTGTTGAAAATGTTTCGTTTCATTTTAGGATTTGCAAAAAAAAAAAAAAAAAAAGATAAAAAAAATGAAGTCACACCTAACAGACAAACAATTTGATTTTTATGTAGTTCAATTATTTGTTTCAAGACAAGTTGGGTACCTACGGGTACACTGACAGCATTGCATTCTTAGTTCTGCTGACACTACAGTTGAAAGAGTTACATGATTAATACATGAAGTGTTTGGCTAACTGGAAAGGACACAGGAATGAGCTGAATTCAGACAATTCCAAACTGATTCTTAATTATTTTCTTTCATAAACTGTTTTGCATTTCAATTAGATAGCCTTGTAACCTGCAGAGTTACAACATTCAGTATTTCACTTTGAGGAACACATGCAATCTCCCAGTTAGCATGCCACATGGTTTCTGATTCTGTTTATGCAGCAGTCACTTCTAAATTTACTAGCCATGAAATCTGATCCCCACTTAAGAAGACCTGTAAGTCCTGCAGTCAAAGGTAGCAGATACTGCGACCATCATACTAGGTGCAGACTCCAACATGTGTGAAGACATAGGAATATTCCTCACTTTATACTTCTTTTTCTACACTACTGTCTGGTAAGGACCTTTTTTTTTTTTTTATTCTTCCTGTTATATTTCAGTAATACTCAAGATTGAAAGAGATTTCCATAACACACTGAGGCTAGGCTTACCGTCCTGCAAGCAAACTGAAATCCTAGAAAGCAGCACATTTATCAATCTCTTCTGCATTTAATAGGTTTATTAGCATACTACGCACATAAGGCACACATGTTAGAATCAAGACTGCTAGGAAATTCCTAATTAAAATACGATGTCATGAGCACTGTGGCTGCTATGGCAACTCAGGCTAAATAAAAACGTGATACTACATCAGCAGAACACAGCAGGGCAGATGAACAAGCATGATGCTGCACTATAATATGCCAAAATACTGCCTGAGCTGTTCACTGCACATTGGCTTCTCTTCAGTTCAAAGAAATGTGAATCCCCTCCATATCTCATATGACTAAAAATAACATTACAGAAATGGTTATGCCACGTATAATACAGATTACTTTTTTTTTCCCCAAGTTCTCCTCTATGGCCAGTTGCTCTTCAGCTCTGAAGAATTCTATGGGCTGTCTTAAAATGCATGCAAATATAAGGAGTGCAAATTATACTGTTACCACCAAAATGCAGAACACCATATGCATGAGAAAACTGCCAGCTCCCAGCTTTTTTTTTAAGCAACTGTTCATACAAGATAACGTATTAACCATTAAAGTAGCATCACGCAGTCAAAACTGGCACACAATTAATTGATTTATCACCAATAACAATGCTTACTGGTGATCACAAATTGTAAGCCTCTCAGTTTGAGTTTGCAGTTCGTTTATCAAGGTTATCAGCCTTCCGCTGGTGCAAGGCAGATGCAATTAAAGACAACAACAAGAATCAGGAAAGTGAAAAATCAAACACAGACATTACTGGACATGTTAAATATTAAAAAAAAAAAATCCTCTCTTGGTTCAATGTCATGCATAAACTTTACTGTGGAGCAAGATTTTATTTGCCTCAACTCCTTTCTTTGAAGATGTATCATATGGGGAGAGAAGCTATTGCTGTTGGGTTTTTTTTTTGGCAGAATTTGTTTTTGGAGTTCTGCTTGCTTGGTTTGCTTCTTTTTTTTTTTTTCCTCTGTCAAAAAAAAAAAAAAAAGAGCAAGTTTTACAGACCAAGGAAATACCACACTGTGAGAGCAGAAACACAAGATGAACAGAAGGAGCCCTTATGTCAAGAGTACACACTGTTTTAAAAAGTCCTTTGTCTTTCTTGTCAAAGTGTAGAGAAAATACGGAGATTCCCCCCAGTTCTTTCTATGGCTCTTCATAATAGAAAATTTAGTTTTGCAATGCTTCCTTTTTCCTACTAGTAAAAACAGAAACTCAAACCAAATCACTTTTCAGTGAAACAGCTTATCTGCATTAGCAGCTGGGAGTGTAAGCTGGATACCAGATCAC